AGATTTCTAAACCGAGTCTCACAGGCAAGTTCTAATCCTATCTCTTTCCCTTAGGCTCGTGTTCTTTGCACGACTAATACAATTCCAGGATTTAATAAGGATTAAAATTGAACTGCATTGCATGTTTTAGATACTAAAAAACTGAAGGTGATTTTAAGTTGTTTAAAGTTTGTTTTAAATTCTTCATTGCGAAACTTCTATTTAATTCATGGAAATTGATGAGTAATGATTTTAATAAGTTCTATACTATGTTGGGAATTACTGGAATTAATTTAGTTTGCAAGATTGATATGTTAAAACAGTTGGTGTCTGGGAACGCATAAACTGCTCGTACTAAATCTTTGTTGCAAAATTCATGCTTTAATTGATTTTGGTAATTGAACAAAGATTTTAGTGGATTATGGATTAACTTGGAACCTAGTTTAAACATCTAAGTACCTTAGGAATGGAAGTCAGATCAACGGAAACATACTGGATGCGAAAGGGATGAAGAATAGAGAAGAGACGGCTCAAAGAGCCGGCTCTTTGGAGCAAAGAGCAGGCTCCATGGGGACATGGAGCCAGCTCTAAGGGGTCTTGGAGCCACCTCTAAGACTAGGAGAGCCGGCTCCAAGTAAGAAAGAGCAAGTTCTTTCTTTTGAAAGAGCAAGCTCTTCAACCGGCTTCCAGTTTTAAGTTTTCTGCGATTAGTTTGGCTACAGAACTCGGATTTTGGGATTTTCAGATTCTGTAGGAAGCTATACTTGGGTGTTTTGAGATGTTCTAAGTCTAGTTAACACTTGTGAGAGTGGATTAATGCTTAATAAACCAGTATGTGTTTATAGCTTGAACACTGGTAAGTCTCGACGGAAGTTGTTTTATTTCAGTATAGTGGAATTTTAAATTACTGAACCTTAATTTATTTATTCTCTGTGAGTGGAAATTTTATTAATATGATATTATTAATAATGGACAAGCATGATAATAAATATGGTTTTTATTAGACTTGTCATGGTTTTATGGACGAGAGGAATAAATTATCTGCATGCTCAAGTAAGATAATTTGTAACAGAGTTATAGGATGAACATGATGCTTATCTATTTAATTTGTGTTCATCATGGAATTAATTGATATGTCTTATTATTTTGATCTATCAGTTACTGGAGTAAGCATGTTAGTCTATATCTCTATTTATGTTTATTATGGTTCAGTTGCTATGTACATTGATTATGTATTCTATCAACTATTGAATGAATTGGATTGTATGTACCGGTATGGGACGGTGACATACTAAGTTTGGATTAGCTCAAATTGCTAAGTCCTACCTACTTTGGAATAAGGGAATGGATCACAAAAATAGAATCCTCCTTATGTATAAGTCTGTGCGGTTGAATAAGCTGAACGACTTACTGGATTTCTTATGGATGAATGTAAACGGATTTTAAATATATTATTATGATACCATGACTTGATCTTGAGTCTTAGAGTTAACGGTTAGAGAGCGTATATGCAATAGGACGCGTAACTGGCTATGCTGGTTGAGGTGTACCCTGTTAGGCTTAGGTAGTCATGCCCACTCAGGTGCATTTTGCATGTTACCTTCTACTCAGGTTGAGACCCGTAACATAGTCCAGTGAGAGTCCATAGTGTGGATATATATATATATATAGACACGGATTATATAGTTATTATTGAGTTGGTTAGAGTGTATATGTGTATCGAGTCTCTACTTGGATTGTCGTAGGATAGAACTTGTTCGTGGGCCTGACCCACTCCTATTTTTCGGTGTACGTCAGTTCCAGGCTTGAGCTTATTCGTGCTGAGCAGAGGCGACCACTCATTCTTCTGACAACGTAAGAGCTCTATTCATATGGTTTTCTTTTAGTTTTTTTTTTTCAGTTCAGTTTGGTTTTCTTATTAGGGGTCCACAGGATGGATTCCCGAGTTGTACCCTTGGAGCTTTTGGAGTTGGATTATTATTATCTGGGATTTTAAGTATTTAATTTTAAAGGATTTTATATTTTAGATTTCTTTCAGCTTAAACTATTATTTCTTAAATTCATTTCGTATTCTGTGTTCGTTTTAAAATATTAATTGTTTTATATCCCTCGGGTTTGGGCCTTGGCCTGATCAACCCGTGTCTCGGATCTGAGGGGTATCACACAAGTGTTTAACATGCTTAATGTATTTTGTATACCGTGGGTGTTTGGTATTTTAGAAGCTAATGTAGCTACTTTGATATGTAAGGATACATAAGTACTTACTTTTGACATTATAAGCATATATGTAATGAGGCCAAGGGCCAAGCATCTTTACTTTAGCACTTGTGTTCATTTGGTACCAACTTTTGTTACAAAAATGTATTTTAACCAACTTTGGGGGTTTGATATGTGAAATTCTTGTATGGACATGTATAAGGCTGTAAGTTGTTGTAATACATTCATTTATTTATTTAAAGGTTGTTAACATACTCACATATTCAAATCTCATTGAAAATCACATTTAAACTTTCATTTTGAACCAATTCAAGAGAGGATTTGATGCATGGGTTAAACTTCAACACATTAGGCATGTAATAGGTCTTACAACAGGTTTTTGAGGTGTTTTTGTTGACCAAAACTCCATTTCGGTTGACCGATGGCTTTTGGGAGCTTCAATGCACAGTAAATCTTCAATTCCAGTAAGCTTTTTCACTGTTTAGAACCATTTCGGTCGACCGATGGCCTATTTCGGTCGACCAATGGCCCAATTCGGTCTACCGAACCAACCTCAACTTAAAATCATGATTTTAGCAAAGTTTCTATGAGGTTCGATCGACCGAAACTCTATTTCGGTCAATTGAAATAGCCCTCATGCACCTACCTTCCAGGATTTGTTTTAGCACTGAAGTTCCAACTTCAAAGGGTCATAACTCCTTCATTCCTAGTCCAAATGGGATGATTCTTGAGCCTAAACTCAAGGATTTTGAGTCAGATTTCCAATGTTACCTATGTAATTCTTAGATTCCAATTACAGTGAGAGTTTTTCATGTTTTAGTAAGGAAGGGTCAGTTTTCGCTTAAACCAGGAAAAGGCATTTTTGTGGGATTATTGGCCAATGTTCTTGGAACCTCTTGGAATGTTGTGAAATGATTAAATTAGGTTTCATTCACCTTGTTTGACTTGTTTAGAGTCAATTTTCTACTTTTATTTGTGAATTGACCATTTTACCCTAAATTGACGAATTTAGCTCGTTTTAACTCTAGTTTCCTCTTTCATTCTCCTTAGGTTCCGTGACTTCATGGAATATCACATTGGTGCCTTAGAGATGATTTATATCTCAAAGTACTATGGTTTTATCTTTTGCTTCTGTATTTTGGACCCGTTACCAGGTTAACTTTCGGTTATCACTAACGCACCGGGTTGAAAACCTTGGGCCATCACAATTTGTGATGCTCATTAGAGTGTCCTGAGCAGCCTTCTATGTTATAGTGTTGAATTCTCTTAAAGTATAGCAGTATGTGTTTGATGCATTCCGCTGGAGTCTTCACTGGTTTTTGTCAATTTGAAGCAGTGAGGTGAGATGTATGAATCAAATGTGTTTTTTCTTGGCAGATCAGTAGTCTGACTTTGGATAGTCATAGATTGATAGCCTTCTGATCAAAATTTGAGGGAGAAATTACAAGTGGCACCTATTAGTGATAAAATTAGAGAAAGTAGATTTAAGTGATATGGACATGTACAAAGAAAACCTATAGAAGCATATGTAAGATGAGGAAGACTAATTTGAATAGTAGGAGGCTCTGAGAGGGTGACCGAAATTAACATAGAATAAAAATTAGAGAAAGTAAATTTTGTTAATGTCTCTTATTTTACTTTAATATTTTATTCGGTCAATTATATCTAGTGTCTTTTTTCTATTTATAAATTACACAAGGAAAAGCATTATAGGTAGAGCTAGAGGCAATGTGACTAGACTTTGATAGCAAGAAATAGGAATAGACTCAATATTCTTACCTTAACATTCCTAATGCCTGTTCGTTCAACTCTTAGCTTGCTTTCATTCAATTCTTAGCTTGCTTTCAATGCTTCTGTTTACACTGTCTAGTTGTAAAGAAACTCTAGAGCCTTTAGAGGGAAATTTTCATCTCCCCAAGCTCTGATTAAGTTGTAAAAAGAAAAAACTCATCAGGACACTATCAGGAGCAGACTCAATTCCATTAAGTTTTCAAACAGCTCTTTATTCAGGCTGAGAAGAGGCCGACAGCCTTGTATTTCCGCCCATCTCTTCGGTTTAAATAGCACAACTCAATCAAATGGAGCCTAAAATTTATGTGGAATTTGACACATGACCATCCTGAAGCTAATGATGCACAACAATGGCAAAAAAAATGCACAATGAGGACTCTACCAAAGCATGTGCATTCATCAAATTAGGTGCTGATTTCACCCCTAGGCATGTAATTAACGGAGTTGATTAGAAACTAAACAATGGTTTGAAAAACAACATGAAGAGGCCAAAAAGTTGGTCAATCTTTTTTTTCCCAAGAAAGAGGGAGCTGTTGTTTTGGGCGTAACACTTGAAATGCATTTTCTAAAATTATCATACAGGCTATTAAAAGACCAAGAGCTTCTCATCATTTTGAGAGATTAGTAAGGAAAAGAAAAATGAAAGCAGATTGATGGGTCACGTACACACACACATACACACAAAAATAAAATAAAATAAAATAAAAATAAAAAATAAAATAAAAATAAAGAAAGAAAACTGCAAATTGATGGATCTTCAAAAGTTATTACATTCATTAAAACATACCTAAATTGGCCGACTCTTTTGCATGATCAATGAGGTGGAATGTGCTTCATTCATCGTCGTCCTAGTCCACATCCTCGAAGACTACCTCATTATGATTTAAAGAATAGACAACGACCTTAAGCCCATCATATCCTACGATCTTTTGCTCCTCTTGAATTCGCCGTGCAGATTTTTCCGCAGAGCGGCTACACCAATGTACCTGAATCATCTCTAGAGTAGATACATCCTATAGACTTGATGGGATCTCCTCAAGTAGTTCACAGTCGTCCAACAGAAATGTTTGAAGGCTAGGAAAGTGACTGCTGGAGGTGTTCCATTGCCTAATGTCTAGGCCATGGAGTTTCAAGAATTGGAGTTTGCGAAACTCCCCATCACTTGTGCTCCAACTTGGTCCCTCGAATGCCTTGTATGACAATTTGAGAACCTCAAGGTTGGGTAAACTCCCTAAGATTGACATTTGATCCCATGGTAGACGGAAGTGTGATAAAGTAAGGCTTTTGAGTTTTGGGGGGAACCTATCAACATGGGAACACCTTCTGTATCCATTGTAAATTAAGCTTAGTGTTTCAAGGTGAACTAAAAAGTCCACTTTTGGAAACCTGTCTTGTTGACATTTTAATTTTTTAAGATTGGGAACCCATTCCAAATCATGTCCACCACGGAGTTTGCCTATGGTTTGTAGGTTCTCTAATACCGAGGGAGAGCCACTATGGAGTTCGCTTGTGGTTTGTAGGTTCATGAATAGAGAGGTAGAGTCACCATGGATATTTATAGGATGCGTACTATACACATGCCTCAAATTCACCGTCTTCTGGATACCATTTAAGTATAATGAACCTTTCGATCCATTAATAATAATAGTTTGGAGGTTCCAGAGGTTGGATATCTCTAGCCTGACACGCTCTCCCTCAACATGAAATGCTAAATACCTTAAGTGAACTAACTTTTCTAATGTCTCTGGAACAGAGAAGATCTTAATGGATAATAAATTCAACACCCGAAGAAGCATGAAGGCTTGATAGATGAATGATGCATCCTTAATCATAGGTAAATCAAAAGGCGAACGACCAAAGGACAAGAAAGATCGGGTGCATGCCTCATAAGGCTTGAAAGAAGCATTATCAACAAGGTTATCATGGATGAACAATCGACATTGCCTGTATGCAGAACTCTGTTCATGCCAGGAAGTCAGAAAATTGTCCTCACGTGCCTTTCTCAAGCATAACTCACGCAAAAGGTCATGGACACGACATGCTTTGATTCCACCGTCGGACCTTTTCTTTGAAACAATTGTTAGACTTCTGTCAATTAGATCCATCAAGTAATCCCCTGCCACTTCCTCCAAGCTTTTTTGCTCATTTTGCCGTATAAATCCCTCAGCGACCCCTAAAGAGATCAATTGCCTCACAGGGATTTCATAGTCTTCTGGAAATGCTCCAAAATAGAGGAAACATGGTTTCAAGTGCTGAGGCAAGTGGTTGTAACTCAGTGCTAGTGTATCCAGGTATTGTTCTGAATCACTAATAATATAGGAACCAACACTTCCACTGACATGCTTCCACCACTCTTCTGTCTTGTCTTTCTTTGCGAGAAGCCCTGATATTACAACAATTGCAAGTGGCAATCCTCCACACTTTTTTGCAATTTCCTTTCCAATTTCTATCAAATCTATAGGACAACTCTCTTTTCGGAATACCTTAAAACGTAATAGATTCCAACTTTCATCTTCATTTAGAAAACTCAAATGGTGAGGTTTAGCCTGCAAAGCCATTGCAACATTTACAAGTCGAGTGGTGAACACAATTCTGCTTCCATTGCGGTCATTTGGAAAATACCTTTTCAAAACATCCCAAGCTTCGATACTCCATAAATCATCAATGACAACAAGATATCGCTTACCTTCCAAAGCTTTGTAAAAGTGCTCACCTAACTCTTCATCACTCATGTTGCGAATATTACCAAAAACATGAATGCATGCAGAATTTATAATGCTAAGCAATATATCTCTCTTCTGGTATACTTGAGAGACATAGGTCCATGCACGAATATGAAAGTAATACACGATGAAAGGATTATTATACACTTTTCTTGCCAGAGTTGTCTTACCTAGTCCAGGCATTCCAACAATGGGGATGTATTTAAGATCCTTTTCATGGTCTCCGGCAAGCAGTTCCATTAATGTCCTTATGTCCTCGTCAAAACCAAGTACAGCTTCTTCCACTGCTATGGGGTTTGCTGAAACTCCGTGGGAAGAACTTGTGATTTGCTGGATTCCTTCTCCAATGCCATGCACCTTACTCTTCTCATAAATCTCCTCCACCTCTCTCTTGATGGACTTGATGTCTTCCGTCAAATCGCCTAAATCTCGATGCATATTCACATAGGCAAGTGTTGGCGACATAATTTCAATTAATCGGCACCTAAGCGCCTCTATTTCCTTTGCATTGCCAAATTTATAATGAATTACCTTAGCCAGATTGATCATCTGTAGGAACTTATTGACGAGGAGAAGAAATCGATCCGGCATGTGAGACTGAGGCCATGTGACACTCGACCCCTTGTCAAAAATATTGATTACTTGTATCATAATTGGGTTGATCTTTTCATGAAGATTTGTGATGTCATGACGAATTTTCTGAGCTAGGTTGACCATGTCGTTGAATCTACAATAGAAGAGAGGAGCAATCCATGGCACCTTATCGGAAAAAATGCCAGAGATCCATGGCTCCTTGAAGGAAAAACTGCGGAGGAGATGAACTTCATCAGAAGATGATCCCCCCTTGTCATAAAGATCCACCACCTCTTTTATGAGAGACTTGATTTCCTCTACTTCTATGACAAAGCGATCAGATTCAGAATTAGAGCCATGTCGTCGTCCATGATGAACTTTCTGAGACTCAAGCCATGAGAGAATCTCCATCATCTCTGTGTTGGAAATCAATTTGATACCATCAATAGCTTAGAGCCGTTACTGACAGGGAAACAATCCATGTGAACCTTACTCACCATCTCCATAATTTCGGATGTACTCACTTGGGCAGGAAGATCCGAGTGTGGCGCGCTTAGATACATCTCCCCCACTGTGTTGATGAGCACAAAGGAGTCGATAATATTATCAACTTGGTAAGTGACATCTCTAATCTTTGCCACTACTTCTTTCACCTCGGCGCGAATCACGTCCTGATCTGAATCCTTGAGGAACTGGCGCAGGAACTTCATCTCTTCATAAACCCACTCCATTTGCTCCTTCTCAATCACAATCAATTTCTTCCTGGAGTTCATTAGCTGCATCATGTGTTCCAACAGAAAATCCAGCGCGCTGTCTGTCATATCTCTTTCTCTCTCTCTGATCTCTCTCAAGATTGATTGATGATCTCCCTCCAAAATATTTGCCAAGTTTAAAAATTACACTCTTAAATAGTTAGATTTCAAAAACCAGATTTTATTTTTTATTTTAGTATTATTATTATTATTATTATTTTTTGTGAACAGAGGAAGTATGAAATGGGGGACCAAGGCAAGAAGGATTGATATGAAATTAGAAGTGGGCTGCTATCCAAAAAATTTTTGTGGTAAGTCAAGGTCTTTACGCTTAAGGGGTAGAAGGGCTGCTATCCACCGACAATTATAATGGTGGAGCCATCATCATGGCTGCAATAATGCAGTTAATGGACTGGAGCATGATAAATTTACAGTAAATTTCAATTTGGTAGCTAAGAAGGTGTAACAAAAGAAATAAAATTCAATTTTTTTAAATCACAAAAATTTCAATTGTTCCTAAACAAAAGCCTCTGTTCAACGACTTGACTTCGTTTCTATCCAATTTTATATGATCCACTCCCAAGTGCACAAATTTTTACAGATTGGACCTACTTATAAGGGTGTCGTACCCAAGGGACTTGTGTAAATAAAATTTGTCAATACATTTATCAAATTCCAAATTAACTTGAAAATAAGATAACCAAATTGTGATGATTTATTCTAAATGAACCAAGTAGAAAAATTAAATAAAGAACAATGATTAAACAAGATGTAGAAAATAGAGAGAGATGACTAGGGGTGTAATGTTTCTGATTTTTACCATTTTTCATTTTCTAGAATTTTCTAATTTTTTCGAGGGTATTTTTGTCCTTTCTCGTTTTGCGTCCCGGACACCGTGAGGTATGCCGGGTGTGTCTGAGAGTTGGTTGGGGCATTTCATTGAGTTCTGGACTTTTTAAAGTGCAGTGGTTTCCATTTTGGCATTTTTTAATTTTTTGGGCCGGACGGTCCCGGGTGGAACCTGCTACCGGAATTTTTGCGTATGTGAATTTTATTTTGGGTACCTTTTTCTTTTGACGAGTCAGTGGGTTGTTGTAACTGAGGTCGTGGGTCTGGTGTGCATGGTGATCGAGGCAGTATTGTCTGGGAAGGTAGTGACGGAATGGGTGGTACGGGGTTATTTTGTGGCATAAGGGTCGTCAATTGGGAGTGATAGGTTCCAGGTACAACGGAACATGGTGTTCAAAGGGCTATAATTGTTTCTAATGTTGGTATGTTGTGATCATTAATGCTCTTGTCCGATGGTTGTGTTGTGAGTTGTATCATCGCACACGACGAATAGGTAGTATGGATCTGATTGGCTTGGGTTAGCATGGGTATCGCAGTGTATCGTATGCGAGGTTTCTGTGTTGATAATGTGTGATGGTCCGTTAGTGGCGAGGTCGCCTGGAATTGAGGTCGTAGTCCCATACATGTTTCTTGTTGGTTCTCCTCCTTATGTGTAGGGAGTTAATTTCATCTCAGGTGAGATTGGGTGTCTATGGTTGGACGATTCGTGTGTAGCACGCGACAAGGTGTCGGGTGCATTCGGGTACGAGTCATCGGCCTCTCGTGAGATCGGGGTTCGATACCCTTTTCATTTGTTTTAGTCCTGGCGAGGAAGTCAGTTGTCGTGAGTCTTGTTCTCCATTTAGGAGTTGTGCGCGTCTGTGGGTGGATAGACCTGAGTGTGTAGTTTGTTATGTTGTTAGAGTTTATTGCTTAAGGTTTAGTTGATTTGGTCGACTCACTCTCACGGAGGGAGATAAAGTCATTGGCTTTTAGTGATGCTTGTTTTGAGAGTGGTTTTGACATCATGAGTTGCCAGATAGGGGTTGTGTTTCCGGTGTCTGGTACTGTCGATGATGGCTAGAGGTGTAACGTGAGACGTAAGTTTGAGGATGTTTAGGTGATGTGAGTCATGTACTCGAGCGTTTTATTGACGTTTCATTCGAATAGTGTCTTGAGGACAAGTGTTGGGATTGTTTAAGTGTTAAGTAGCTAGAAAGTGATTATGGGATCCCGTTGAAGAATAATGGGGATGATTGACTTTAATTTTATGGTTTTAGGCATGGAAAGGTTGTACTGTGTGTTTTGAAGAGGTGAGAATTGAGTTGAGTAATGTCATGAGTTGTTTACCTAGTATGGGTACTATGAGGTCATTAGAGAGTTTTTATGCTGGTCGATGATTGTGATTTTTGGTGCTGTGTCATTTCTAGCTTGTTCAGGTTATACGATTAAACTATCATTGGGGTTTTTAGAGTAAGTATGTGACTGTATAGCCGTTGTGGTTACGTGGAGTGATGGATTGATTGTGAGTGAATCTCACAGTTATTTTGAGGATTGTGTGAGACTGTATTTGAGGTTTGGACCTGAGGACAGGAATGACATATGTGTTGAAACCGGATCGAGGATGAGAATGGCCTAGCCAACCATTTCTCCTGAATCAATCCTTCTTTAACACGATATCAGGTTAAAGGTCAATGATTGTTTCAACTTGTCACGGATAGTGAGTGTATAGTACTGAGCATTGTGTCGGTGTGGATTCAAGAAGTTATCCTCAGTGGCGAGGTGTGTTAGGTAGGACTAAGTGTCCATTCCGTTTAATTATTAAGGACCTCATTTTTAGGATTTGTGTCCTGGGTACAGGATAGTGCATTTTACTAATTTGGTGACTAATGTTTATGCAGTTGTTGGGAGAATTGTTGTTTGGTCATCTTGAGGTTGATAAGTAGAGTGATCGTCGTATAGTGTGATTAGTAGTCGTTGGTACGATGGTGTAGCTATGCGGTGGATAGTTAGTGCTCAGTCTGATAGGGACGTGTAGATTTGAGTTAAGCTTGATTGTGAGATGGACGGGGTTCCTCATTTGGGGTTTTGAGTGTCCTTTGAAGGACGAGTTGAGATAGGATGTTGCCGCATTTAGGAGTCTTGTGACTGTTCTTCTTTCGGCTCCAAAGCCTTGTGTAGCAGTGTAGGGTAGCCCGATGTCCGTTTTTGAGTCGGGCATAGCGTAAGGCGTACCAGCCATTCTAGTGTTAGGAGTTTGCGAGTGATGAGTACCCTCATAGGGTAGTGAGTATTGGGTTTTTCTGGCGGTAGTGTGTGGTTGCCTATTGGCATTGGGTGTTAAGGGCAACAAGGTTGTTGAGTTCTTGGCTCTATGGTTGGGTGAGGTGTTTCTCGGGAAGGTGTGTGGCTATGGGTCTCCTTCTTTAAGGAGGGTAGATTTCATCTAGATTTCGAGGACCAAATGTTTTAAGGAGGGTAGAATGTATGGTTTCTGATTTTTACCATTTTTCATTTTTTAGATTTTTCTGATTTTTTCGAGGGTATTTTTGTTCCTTCTCGTTTTACGTGCCAGGTGTGTCTGAGAGTTGGTTGGGGCATTTCATTGAGTTCAGAACTTTTTGAAGTGCAGTGGTTTCCATTTCGTCATTTTTTTGTTTTTCGGGCCGGACGGTCCCTGGTGGAACCCACCACCGGAATTTTTGCGTATGTGGTTTTTATTTTGGGCCCATTGCATTCCATGCATATTTATTTTATGCATATTTATATGGTTGTGTGTCATTTTGTGTGGTTGTAATGTGAGAAGTCCATGTATATGAAATTTATGGTGGAAAAATTAAAGCAAAAAGATTTTATTTTTTTGGGGCCCACCACTAATGCATTTTAGTGGTTAAAGAGGCCATTTTAGCCTCATTTTCCTTTCTCTCTCCCGTAAGCAAGCTCTCTCTCTCTTTCCTTCACTTTTTTTCTTTTTCTTTTCTTCACAATTTCAAGTTTCAATTACTCCTTCATCTTAAAGAAATTTTTGGTGCCGTTTGCAGCAAGTTAGAAAGCGCGTCGAGATCTTCGATTTGATCGGAGCCAAGCCCCATTTGGTGCAGCTTGGGATTTCAAAATTGGGGCTAGGAATCTGATAATTTTTGGGGTTTTTCTCTCATTGGAGGTAGGGGTGTTCTAATACATGATTTCTTATGCTTTTTGTGTGTTAATTCTTTATAAATTGTTGAATTGCATGCTTAATTAGTATAAGTTCTCGCAAATTATTTAAATATTATATGTGAAAGATGTGCTTATGTGATAGTTGATATAATGGGTGTAAGCATGCCTATATGTAATGGAATTTGTGTTTTGGATGCCTAATATGCTTGAATAATGTGAAATAAAATCATGAATTATGGATTTTCAAAAATTTACTTTGCATAATATGTGTGAAAGTTTTATGGTTGAATTGATGAATTGAAGCATGAAGCATTTATGCATCCATTGGGAAAAAGAGAAAGGAAAATGTTTTAAAACAAACAAAACTTGTTTTGGGAAAAAGTTTTCTAAAAGTGTATAAGAAAACCTAGATGCCTAGGAGGCGCCTAGTGGTTCGTGGTGTTAGTGTAGTCTAGAGGAGAGTATGGTTAAACTAACTAGGCCGAATGCGATGCCTTGGAGGTGCCTTGTGGTCATGGATGGTTAGCTAATCCTCCTTTCGTGACGCCTTGGAGGTGCCTTGGGTCGGATTATACTAACGGTTTAGAAGTTGAAACGGGAATGCTTCGGACATGGGGAGCGACATTTGCGTGACATTGCACTTCATTATAATATATGGTGTGTATGTGTTTG